TCTTTCTTGAGTTTGGGACTATGTGTTATAACTTAGAAGGCAAAGGTGAGCAAGCACAAGCTTTAACATAGAAAATGCGCGCGAAGCGCGCGAAAAACGTTGGAATTGATCAAAACTCCCTAAAATGTGCAATTTTTAGAGGAAATTGGGCCATGTTAACAAGAAATGCGCGCGAAATTTGAGGTTTTTAGGCACTTTCATGGGATGAAAGGGCATTTATAAAGTGGGGGGTGGGGAAGATTTTTCAAAGATAGATATTTTCTCCTTGTCCCCCAGTGGTTACGCCATCGGGCAGCATAGATCAAAGGAGTTATGCCAGTTTTTGAAGTGGAGAAGGGGTTGCATGGGTGTTGTGAGTCTGGTCATTATGATATCTTCCTTTTTATTCTTGTCTTTATTTTTCTCTTCTCTTTTTCTTTCCTTTTCTTTTCCTCTTCTTTCTCTTTCCCTCCCTCTCCCCTCTTTCTTTTCTCTTATTACCCGGCTCGGTACGACGGCTTGGTCGGCCCGGTAAAAACCGTCAGGGGAGGGGCAGTTTTTTTTTCTACGCCACTGCTATTAATGCTCTAAAACAGTATTTTTTTTTTTTGTGATATCAGCCTGCTCTAAAACTAAAAGATGAAGCTGCACCAGAGTCTGAGCAAGGTCAGTCGGAGCAGACGACAGACACAGAAAGTATGGAGGATGCTAAAAGTCAGGCTGAAGAACAGCAGGTATGGTTGCAAAACATTCTTTTTTAATGTATTTTGAACTTGTAGTAGTTGGAGCTTAATGATTATGGACCTTTCAGGTGTGTCAATCAAACTTAATAACTAACCCAGAATGTAAAGTAAAGCCTGCACGGGGAATATTTCCTCCACGCAAAAATTTGCCCTAGCAATCTGTCCGCGCATTTCGGAAAATAAAGGCCGATTTTCCGTGCAGATTTTGCAGAAAATTATGCTTTGACCAAACTTTAGTATATAACCAATGCAATTATGCAGCAATTGCGATTCCGCACACCTATTTTCCTGGTTATTTTCCATGCAAATTTGAGCTAACTTTTTAGATATCCCCCGCAAATTAAAAAATTTTACAGTATGGTAACTGACCAATCAGAACAGGACCAGGAATATGCGCGTGTCTAGCAAACACATTTGTTGCCCCGCACATGCACGTTCTGTAAGACCTTAGCAACAATATCCAAAGGGCGAGGCTTAGCAGAAAGGTTCATTATAAAAACATTATAATAAATTGAAAATATAATATAATATAATTTGAGTATATTTAGTACCCTTATTTGCCCTTACAATTAGTTGAATCACAGCACATTTTGAATAAAATTCTATAAACAGGCTCAGTCAACTCCAGTAAAAACATCCAAACAAGATCTTCCAGCTCCAAGCCCATTCTTCCCAACATACCAGACGCCTCAGAAGATGTATCAAGCTCCTTCTGACACTGAGAGTGAGATTGACGAACCACTGGTTAACCTTGATGCTTTCACCAAGGAAGAGCTGTTGCAGAAATTTCAGAAGGTTGAGAAGAAAGTGACAAGATACAAAGGAAAATTTATTGATGTGAGTTCAGCAGATAAAAATTTTCACTGCAGTAATGATAACATAAAGCAAGTATGCTATTCTTCTGATATATACCTGATTTTTAGTTGATGTTACCAGCCGCAGCGCTATGCTTATTTCCTTATTTAACTACTTTACATAAGGTGCGTTTCCTCAGAATGAAACCAAGGAACTACAGTATATGTGGCAACGAAAAGCAAAACTAGTCATTCCTTGCTTAAAATCGATTTTAAGTTAAAAATACAAGCGTTAAATGAAAGTTATAAAACAAAACAGTAAAATCATTTAAATCTAACATTTTGCTATGAAGTTACAGGGGAATCATACAGCTGTTTAAAGAACAGTATTGAGAAATTAGCCTTTAAAATTACAATTTCGGTTATTCCAACAAGTTTTGGCCATTATCTCCGAAACATGATTTGCGAGGAGTGACTGATTTAGCTTGTCTTCATCACATATATTAATGACATTTTGTATTACTAATGAATAGATTTTATTGTCTCATGCCAAAATGTATTCAACTTTTTAAAATGGTGATTCAAGATTTGCTTATGTTGATTATTCTAGTTTAGATTGTTATCTGTGTTTATGCTAAATAACTTCAATACGTGAACAGTTTAATTATTACAGTCAATTTGATAAGTTGCAAACCTTGGGGATATATTTTGTGTTTTTAACTATTGTATTAAGGATAACAATTATACATTATTTTTTCAGGTGGTAAATGCATACAAAGAACTTCAGAAAGAGAATTCTAAAATTAAGGTAATTGTATTATTTATCTGTTTTTGTAATCCAATGGTAAGATTAAGAATCTGTGGAAGTGGTTTTATGGTTATATTGTTTTCATTTTGTTCCTTCAACAGACAATTATGACACAAAGTCAAGACAAAGCCCTGAGGAGGATATCAGAACTGAAAGAGGTAAATAAGTAGCAACCACACAATATTAACATCAAATTTTATCTTGTTTATAATTACTGTCAAATATCTTAGTTCACATTAATTGATACCTCATTATTGTGGCAATTCCACATGTTTACGTCCCAAGTTCCTGAGCCAAATTTATTCTTCTATGTTTGTTGAAATGTGTTATCATGTGCTGTCCATTCTCTGATTGGGTAAGACGTGGTGCATTGGTTCATTTTGATTTAATTGTTGTATTGTAGGCGGCACAGTTAGACCAGCAGGCTAAGCAGCATCTGCAACAGAACTTTGACTTGATGCTGGAGGAAAAGGATGAGATGATTAATGTGCTTCAGACACAGGTAGGCTGGTTTTTAATACAATATTAAAATTATAAATAAATCTACAGCTGTCACGATTAGGACAGCTGTCTAGTCTATTTTTATGTAACCCTTGAAATTATAATGGTAAAATACTAGATTTCTGCAAGGTTTTTTTTTAGTGGAGGGGGACTACAAATCCCTTTTTGCCTACCACCATCTTATTCCATTCCTCTAAAGTGATTTGCTTTTTCAAACCATAAATTCTCTCCTGTTGAAGAATTAGTGTTTTAGATAAATATTAATATAGAAAGTGGTGTATAACATTTACATTCAAGCAAGAATTGCAAGTCTTCGTTGTGGTCAAACCTTATTTGTTTCTTATAAGGTTGGCTTGTACAAGCATGGTGTTGTACCAGTCAGTGAAGGGGTGAAAAATGCCCAAGGAGGGGATGCCCCAGATGCCAAGGCTCCAGTCGCTGTAGATCCAGAAGCCAATCAAGTTTTGAGAGAAAAAGTAAAGCGGTTGGAAGTGCTACTGACAAAATGTAAAGAAACAATGAGAAATAAAAAAGACAAGAACCATGAACTATCAAGTGAATTAGAGAAAGCAGAAAAACAACTTAAGGAAAAAAATGAAGAAATGGAGCAACTGAAGGTAGTTTTTCTTCATTATCATTCTCCATGATCACAATCCAAGGAAGTATCAAAATACTTGTGTTATAACCTCTTGGTCATTACAGTGTAGATCTATGAGCAACCACCTACAATCTCTAGATAGTTGTCACTGTGTCTCGCCCCTTACCATTACATTCAATGACACAGCATCTTATTAGGTAGTTACTTTTTGCTTGGTTTTTGCCATTCCATGTCTGGAATATCTGGTTGCCATTGACTGATAAGCTGCAGTTGACTAAAACCACTGCTAATTTAGTCATATGAGAGAGAGAGAGATCCGACTGGTACTCTACAGTCACCAATTTAGGTAGCTATTTATAACCCTGAAAGGAGAGCCAAGTACAAATGCTGTATATCTAAAGTTACAAGCCACACGACAGACAATCACAGAGAGGATTTTAACATGCACAGAAGTATGGCTTAATAAAATGTGACCCAAAAATATCAGATATCTGATTGTGAGAAAAACTGATTTACTTTTTGCAAATTAATGTGGGTAGTGTTCAATACACTCTGTTTATTAAAAAATGGAATGTTTGTTTGTTATTAATTTTTTTAAACAATTTTCTCTTTTTTAGACTCAGCAGGAAATGGAGAAAGTAAAATTTTCTGAACAACTGAAGAAAGCGAAAGAAATGATGGACCAGGTAGAAGGAGAGAAAGCTTTGGCAGTTGCTGAGACCAAGCGACAAATGCATGAAGATCTTGAAAAACAAGAGGAACAGCACTCACAACTGCGAGAGAAAGTGAAGGAGTTAACAAGTGAGCGAGATGCAACTGAAAGCAATAAACTGGAATTAGAAAAGACAGGTTAGTTAGTTGTACATATGTCTCAAAATTACAAGTTTATTTTTCTATTTTTTTTTTAGTTTGCTAGAAAATGTTTAGTTTGCTGTAAGCTGTTATGATTGGCTGAAACCCAAGTTTATGGTTGTAACCTAGTTTATGGTTGAAACATAGTTTATGATTTTAACCTTGTTTATAATCCCTACTTTATGATTTTATTCTAGTTTATGGCTATGGCATAGTTTCTATGTTTATTATTAATCCATTTTGAAATATTTTGTTTTTAATTTATCATATGTATTGATTGAGAGATTGAAAACATCTATCTGGAAATCACACATCCAGTGGCGTAATGCCTATAGACTCTCATTCAGCGGTCTGCAGGGCCCTGACCCCTAGAGGCCCTACCCATAGGTTCCTCGATCTAGCACCCTGATTAAAAATTACTTGGTTAATAGGATAACACCATAGTGTGTCTCTGAAATCGACTGTAGGCATATATCTTATTATATCCAGTGGTGAATTAAAGGAAGCGGGCCCAGTCAGCCCGAGACCCCACCAAATTTGTCAAAAATTTTATTAAATGGAGATAAAAAAAAATTATATTCAATTTCAAGTCTCTGAGTTGCCATTTCTGACCATCTAAATGTGCCATAATCATACATTTTCTTATCTCAGCCCCACCAGGACAACAGTATCATGTTTTTGAAGTCAACTGTTTAACACGTATCATTATATCCAGTGGAGGAATAAAGAGGGGGTGGGGGAGGGCCCACTAAATTTGTCTAAATATTTTTTTAATGGAGATAAAAAGAAAACTATATTCACAATTTTATGACTGTGAGTGCCATTTCTGGCCATTTACAGGTGCCATAAGCATACATTTTCTTACCTCAGCCCCAACCATGGTGGGGCTCAGGTGGTATAGACTCTCCAAATGTGAAAGTCCCTCCCTGGCCCCTTTATTTTAAATACCTTGATCTGCCACTGATATATAATTTATTCCTTGTTAAAAACATTTAGATTGACAATGCAAACATGAATTAAAAAAGGAGCACACTAAAATCCCACAATGAATTTGGTGACTGGACCTAACAGACCTAATAAGGGCCCCCAGTTTAAGAGATCCACAAGGCCCCCGCACCCATCGTTACACTACTGCACACTTTATTATTTTAAAAACAGCACTCAATACTCTACTGATTTTAAAATAATTGTGCAAAAGGATAGTATACTATTTCTAAACATTTTTCTAATAGTTCAAGAACTTACAATACAACTACAGACAGCAGAGAAACGTGGTGATGAGGACAAGCAAAACCTGGCGCAAGAGTTGTCCAGGGGTAAGCAAGCCGTCGTCACGCATTTCCAGGTACATTGCTTCCATTTTTGTGAGCATCCCATACATTCGTGTGGAAATTAGCATAGTCAAATTAACATAGTACATATATGTTAACTTAATTTTAAATTATATTTCACTTAAGACTTGCAGTATATAGTAGTTAAGAAAGTAATTGTGAGAACAATATAGATGGGGAAATTTGTGAGAGGAGAATGTTCAAACAATTGGACTGTGCTATTTTGGGTCTAAAAAGGACTATGGCTTTCTTACTTGCTACAGAGAATGATTCATACTGTATTGTGTTTTTGAACCCCTCCCACATGCTTGTTTCATTGTTAAAATGCATAACACCATTGGTTATTATGGATGCCTTTGTTCTCAGACATTTACAGTAGTAAAGATTGCATTCTACTCCACTAATCATTTACTTGAAAGATTGTATTAATGGATATCTTGCCTAGTCTCTAAGTGTTACTTTTGTTTTACATACTGTTCCTTGTAGGAAGAAATGGAAAAACTTAAAATAGAATTACTCAATGAGAAGGAGGCAGCTATTAATGAGAAAAACCAGCACTGGGAGACTGTCATTGCCAAGAAAGAAGAAATCTACAAAGCTGCCATGTCCAATAAGGTTAGAATTAAACCCAAAAGAAAGAATCTGTTTTAATTTCTTATATAGTATGTGTATTTGAACTTTTAGATAAAATTACATGTGCATAGAAATCTACTTGCTATTTTAGCTCTTATTTAAACTCCTTGGTAACAGGATTAATTCCAATTTTAAAAATTAGACAAGGTTTTGCCTTGCTGTCCCATAACGTTATGGCTGTAGGGGCAACGTTGTGATTGAATCAGTTACCCAAATCCTCCATCTACTGTGGTCTTCAGCTGTTCGAAGAATTTGTGTCTTAAGCGAGGCTTAGGCCTTCTTATAATCAAAACAGAGCAGCCTAGGTAGGTAGACTGTTTTTCAAGTCCTAGTGAAATTCAGGTGTCAGATCATATGTTTCTTTCAATGCCAGTGTCAGGATTTTTAAGAATCAAAACTCATTTGATAGATAGATTCATTCCTGATGATGACATAATTAATGTTGAAATATTGAATCCCAACACGATGGCGTGTATTTCAATACTTGGTGTATGTATTATACTTTCTTATCTGAGATTAATCAGTGGACCTTTCGGTTTTCAAAACTCATTCATTTTTATATTATTATATTATTTTTATTACCTCCGCCAATGAAGTTGACAGGAGGTTATGTTTTCGCCTGTTTTTTTATTTAGCTATTTATTTGACTGTCAGCATATTTCTTGTGAACAGCCTACAGCCCACAGTTTTTATCAGAAATTCGTCAAACTTGGCCACAATGTTCCTTTACCTAAGATTTAGATCTGATTAAATTTAAAGGGTCAAAGGTCAAGGTCACAATAAACAAAAAACTTTATAAAAAATTTATTTGTCTACAGCCTATAGTTTTAATTTCAAACTTGTCACAATGTTCTCTGACCAAATATCTCAAAAGTATTTGAATGTTGTAAGGGTTAAAGGTCAAGGTCACAATCAACAAAAAAATGTTTTTTTGAAACAGTTTTTATCAAAAATTTGTCAAACTTGGCCACAATGTTCCTTTACCAGAGATCTGGAAGTGACTGAATTTTGAAGGGTCAGGGTCAAAGGTCATGGACACAATGATCGAAAACTTGTATAACTGTTTGCTGTAGACGTGAGTGTGTGCTTATACGGGCTCACATGACCATTAATTTCAAAGTGATATACAGTATGTGAAGACAGTTTGTTGTAGTGGCAAGAAGAGTGTTTTCCACACTACCAGCCCTGGGTTAAAATCACAAGGAGTCTACTTGGTGTTTTTTTTTTCCATTATTTTTTTTTTTATGGGGACAATATGTGAGGGAAATTTATACTGAGGAGAATTATGATGTGGGCGGAGGTGTGCTCTCTCCGACTGCCCTTTAGTTGTTAATATTATTACTGTTGTTATTATTATTACTGTTGTTATTATTGTTGTTTTTAATTTATTGTTATTTATCATTATTATTAGGAAAAAGAGCATGAGCTGGCAGTACAGAATTTGGAAATTGTGCATAAAAACCTTTTGAAAGAGAAAGAATCTGATATGATGATGGCTATTGAGGAAAGAGAGCTTCAAAAGATGGCTGCTGTTAGTGCTCAAGATAACAAAAAGGACGAGTTACAGAGAATTATTGACCAGATGAAAGCTGTGAGTGTGTTTTTTGTAATCCTAAGCAGTATATCAGCTACAAATTTAAATTTCCTATCCTTATCCTCCTTTGTTTTTATCAGACATTTTTACCTTCTTAAATACCTAGATTGTGGATTTTACTCCAACACAACTTCCATAGATACTTGTTTATTATATATATTGATCATTCAACGAAACAATCAAGCACGATGTTTGAAAGAGAAGTAAAATTAGTCGCATGCACATCTTTGAAGAGGCCTATTAGAGGGCCTCCTTCAATTGAGAATTACATAGTACTGTATAGTATGGTGTGTTGTGTTGTATGCATGCTAATAACAGTTACAATTCGAGCGGATTTTTTTTTTTTAATCTTTCGCTTAAATTTTTATGACGTCATCACCTTTATTTTATGTTTGTAAAATCGGGAATTCGTTAAATCGGGGTTTGTAAATGAGGGTTTCTACTGTATGTTTAAACGAATGTGCATTCTACAATTTATTGATGCATTTCCTGAGCCTTCTAATTTCTGTTAAAGGTCAAACTTTTGCAGACATACACTACTATATTAAGTAGTATTGTATTTTAGCCTTGAAAAAGGTGCAGCTTTATAATAACATGAATTATTTATATATTATATCCCAGGAAATAAAGTTCATATTTATGTACATTTTTTATGATTGCATTTGCAAGAATATTTGCAGCTGTGCTCAGTGGTAATCAATGACAATTGTATTAGTAATTAAATGGCTAATTATGCACCAATTCAAAAAATTATCAAAGGAACTACTACATCATAATTAAGCACTACCAGGAATTTAAATGATTATTTGAAGATTTCCTTGTTTAACTGGTTATATAATATATATTTTTATATTTATTTAAACTAATTTGATAAGAATAGTGCAGCTAAATATCTAGCATGATCACTTTGCTTTAAAAAAAAGCAGGATATTGAGATATTGTAATTATTTATTTTAATATGCAAATTCATGCTGGCAAACATACAGTACAGTAATTATAAAACGAAAAAATGAATAGAAAGTTGTCAGACCATCAGGTTAACAAATGTAACTCCTGATAGCGGCCATTTCTGAATTGCACACTTTACTGTATGAAACCTAGAATTGTAATAATTAGCTGTTTAACAGTTTGCATAATAGAACCATTATAGCTTTACATACCATACAATATTCTCAAGAATTGCACAAAAAGGTATAGAATGTATATTGGGCAACATTTACAATTTTGATATCATTGCACTCAAAACTATTTTTGAATTCTTTTCAGGAGAAACTAGAATTGGAAATATCAGTTCAGCAATTGAAAGAGACCTCAAAAGAGGAAATTAAAGAAGCTAACAGTAAACTGGAGGAAGTCATTGAGAAGAGCAAGAATGCAATTGCTAAACAAAAAGCCCAACACAAGAAAATTGTGCAGGAACTGAATGAGAAAAACGATGCAGAGATGCAGTCCAAGGTTGAGGATTTGCAGATGCAGCTTAATACACGCATAGAAGAGGCTCTCGAGCAACAGAGGGTGATGGTTGACAAAACCCAACTGGAAGCAGATTCTGAACTAAAGGCCAAAGTCGAGGATATGAGTCGTTCACAACAAACTATTGTCCAGGAGAAAATGGACCAACTGAACAAATTAAACACAACTGTCACAGAATTGAAGCAAAGGAACCAGAAACAAGCTCAGGAGTTAATAGAACGTGGTAAAATCATCTCCACGTTAGAGGCTAACATCAAGGATACTGAAACCAAAAGTCAGATTGAGAAAGATGACTGGAAAAAAGAGGAGGAGAATTTGAGGGACCAACTTGAAAAATCACAGCATAGCTTTGAGATAGTTCAACAACAACTTGAAACTGCAATAAAAGCAAAAGAAGAAAAAGTAACTGAACTGGATGTAAAATTGAATGAAGTTTCTGAACTGAATGTAAAAAATTTGAAGGAACATGCAAATGCTGTAGAGAAATATTCCATAGAAATCAATGAACTAAACCAGAAAGTGATTCAATTACAGCAAGAGGCAGAGAGGAAAGAGACAGAATATCAACACAAAGTTGACGAATATAAACAGAAATTGATTTTCCAGGAAGAGAATTATGAAAAAGAAACAGCTCGTAGAATTGAGATGCTTGAAGTTCAAAAACAAAGTTCAGTTGATGAGGTTGCAGGAGATCTTGGAAAGAAGTTAACAGACGCAAATGAAATGATTGGGGCGAGTGAGAAAACAACACAGGAACTTAAATTGAAAGAGAAAGAACTTGAAAACTCATTGGCTTTACTGCAAACGAAGTATGATAATGATCTGAGTGCTGCAAATGATGCCCTTGTGAAAGAGAAGGACAGATATGTTGAAAGTGTGGAAAAATTAGAGTTAGCACTTGAAGGTGCTAACAAACAAAACAAAACTTGCTCAGAAGAATTAAAAGTTTCTAAAGAAACTGCCAATGAAAAGGACATTCAGTTAGGGAAATTGCAAGAAAATCTAAGTTCATTAGAAAAGACACACAAATCAGCTCAGTCTGAACATGCTCAAATTGTTGCCAGGTTTGAAGAACAAATACAACAATTTGAAGGGGAAAAACAAGTAAGTGTAGAAAATATCAGCGATTTGGAGAAACTGGTTAGTGATTTAAAATCAGATGTTGCAACAGCACATGAACAATTAGAACAAGAAAAAGAAGAGTCTAAAAAACGATCAGAGGAAACAGATTCATCTATGGATAAATTGGAAAAAACTATAGAGGAACAGAAGCAGAAGATTCAGCAACTTGAAAGTTTATCTAATTTAGTTGAAGAGAAGGATGGACAAATAAAACAACTGCAAACTCAAGTACAGGAAAATGAACAGTCACTTTTTGCTTTGCAAAATCAATTGAAAGAGGCCATTGAAAGGGAATCGGTACTTAATTCAGACATTGTGAATTTAAAAGAAAAACATGAATTAGAATTAAATGAGACGATGGCGATTAATGATGCAAAAATGAAGAGTGCAACAGAAGAATTTTTAGAAAAAGAGAAAACTTGGGCAGCTAAGCATACTAGTCAGATTGAGGATATAAAATCACAAGCTAAAGCTAAGATATCACAGATAGTGCAAAGAGAAAGAGAAGCAGCCAAGCAAAAAGAAAATGAATTAGAAGAAAGAGTACAACTGAAAGAAGAAGAAATGAGAAAGATGGAAGAAACCCTTAATTTAAAAACAACTCAGGTATCAGAGGAACTGACAGGAAGAATTTCAAGCCTACAGGAACAAAATCTTCAACTTAAACAGCGTATACAAACAGATGCTGAAGAACAAAATGAAAAAATATCTACAATTAAAAAGGAACATGATGAAGAAATGAATAAATTTATTGAGGCAAGTCAGAAAAAACTTGCTGAAAGAGAAGAAGAGTTCTCCAAACATTTCTCTGATCTAATGAAAGAGAAGAAGTTAGGAGTTGAAGATGTGACCACAAAAATGGAGATTATGCACCAGGAGACCATAGAGTGCCTTAAGAAAGAGCATGAGGAAGACACAAGCAAGAAGGATGCAACTCACAAAAAACAGATGGCTGATCTCAGAGAGCAAGCTAAGTCTAAGATTTCTTCCTATAAAACCAAGCTTCAGGAGTTGAATGATAACAACACCCAACTTAAAAAGGCTCATGACGAGAACATTAAAAGCCTTACAAAGGAGTTTGACGAGAAATTTGTTTGTAAGGAAAAGGAGTGCGAAAGCATGATTAAGCAACACAACACAGAAATTGAAGATCTGAAAAAGAAACACAAAACTAATATGGAACAGCTGGAGCAGCAACACTTTGAGATGATGGAAAACATGGAAAAAACATATTCAAATAATGTGGAATCAATCCGTATGGAGTCCCTGCAAGCAGATGAGATGCAGAAACAGCATGAGTTAGAGATGAGAGATCTGTGTCAGAAAAATGCAACCACAGTTGCCAAGTTAGAGGAACGTATACAAGAGCTTGTGGAGACTGATCTTGAGAACCAGGCTGAATTGAAAGAGGCTAACTTCCGTGCCGAATGTGCTGAAAATGAACTTGTGGAGTTAAAGACAACTTCCAAATCGAAAATGGATGAGCTCGAGGAAGAACTAAAAAATTTACGAGCTACATTTGAAGAAGAAAAAAGAACCTTGGAACAGGATATTAAAGAAAAAGAAAGTATAGATCAGTTAAATGCATCCAAATTAGAGGAGACTCTCCAGTCAAGGATCAATGGTATGGAATCAGAAGTAAAAGAGTTAACATTATCAAAAGAAAAACTAATGGTTGAGATGCAAGGTACTCTGAAAGAAAGAGATGAAAAAATAGAAGAATTAAACAAGCAAATTCAAGAGATAACCGTTTCACTTGAGGCTGAAGGCAAGGATAAACTGGCTGAGTTAAAGAAAAAGGCAGAAGGCAAATTGAAACAAATTAAGAATCAATTTACCACTGAACTTGAAGCTAAACAGAATGAACTTCTAGAAAAAGATAAAAAAATAGAATCTATAGAAGGCAATAATCAGGAAATGATTGCTGCACTACAAGCGCAGATTAAAGACAACGAGCAGCGTCATCAGAATGAGAAGGATGAGTGGAAAAGAAACTTAGACGAAGAAAAGGTTAAGCTGCATGAACAGTCCCAACAAATTGTTGAAGAAAATATTAAAGTTGCTAGAGAGAGTCTCTTGGGTGCTGAAGCCCAGCAAAAGGGTGCTGAAGATAGAATAAAAGAAATCACAGAATCTATGAAAGTCAGAGAGGATGAGTTGGTGAACCAAAATGAAAAACTGAAGGAATGTCACGAGAATAAAATAACTGAAATGGAGTAAGTATAGTGTCATTGTCCTTGGGCACTCTCTGTACTGGATATATGCAATATAATAATTATAACATTTTTGAAGTACAATCTATAAACAAAGCAAACACAAAATCAGTTCAGACATAAAACCTATTGGTAGTGATTTTTGATAATCTCCAAAATTATTAAACAGCATTTGTCTATAGCTCACATGTTATTTTAGAGTGCTATTAAAAGATTTTTATATCATTGTAGTTGTACATGTTGTATAAAATTTTAGATAGCAGTGGCCTTACAGCAGGTAATATAAGTGTTTAATTATAACTGGTACTTATACATGTTTTTCATCCACCTAAATGTTTTTTTTGTAATTTATTTATTTCTTCTCATTTTTTTCTAGACTATAAATACTTTAATGTGTTTTTTTTTTGTTAAATAGAAATAAGTTTGACATACTATTAAAGGAGAGACAGAAAGAGTGTGAGGAACGATTACGTGAAATGCGTTTGGAGTGCGACAGTCGTCTCCAGGACCAAAGCATAGAGCACGGACAGAAAGTGAAGCACTTACTTAAAGAGGTCAACATGAAAATGGCTCTGAAAGATCAAGAGATGCAACAAAGTTTACGACAGGTTATAGGTGAGGGTTCATTTATTTCATGGAGCAGTGTTGTAGTTGTAGTACTTTTTCAATTCCCTGAATAGTGGGTTCAAAGAATGGCAGTGAACCATAAGTAAATTGCAGTGCTTCAAAATTTTATACTCATACTCTTCTGTAAAAAGATTTTGTTATACACTGGTTCAAACCTAAAATTAGTTTTTCCTAGAATCAAACATAAAGTCCCTTCACCAATATGTACATTCAATTTGAAACGAGCTAGTTGTTGGAAAAAAGGAAAATAACAATAAAAAATAATATACCAGGGATTTTTATCACAATCTCATTAAAAGTCTGATGACTAAAAAAAAAATCTATCTTTAAACCCTAAACTGGATATTGAGTTGCTAATTGTTTTGATATACAGTATAAGATAAATGTCATTAATACTATTATTATCAGGAAAAGGTCAATCAGTTGAGGTAAAGATGGAGAAAGAGCACACAGAGATGATGCGAGAACTTCAAGAGACCATTGATGATCAGTCACGCGAGTTGGAGACAGTGTCAGAGACTTATGAAGAACAACTTAAGGTATTTGTGTAACTCAGTTTTAATTTTAAGTTTGAGATAGAAACGCACTGTGTATGTGAAAGGTTGCGTGCAAATTAATTTATTCATCAATAAAATATATAGATATTTACTGAAGCTGGACACATACTACACAGGCCGATGAATCCATCTCCACTCACTGTGCAGGCGTGATGATGCAACGCCATCTGCTGAACTGAGGTGGATGCAGGATTTGGTGTTAGGCAGTTCATAAGAGTCGACACCACCTCAGCCCCACCATGGTTGGGGCTGAGTTGCGAAAATTAAGAAAATATGTGCCCGGAAATTGCACTTTCATATCTTAAATGTCTTGCCGGTACTAGTCCTATGTTCATCAACAATACAATACAAGAATTATTTTTCTTAATACAATTTAGGGGGTGTGATCTGCATCCACCCCAACTGAGATAGCAGGCTGAGCAGGTTGTCATTAAAAGCAATCCTCCGTGTGTGGGTCATTGCACTGCATTTCTATGGAATTGTGATGACTGTCCGGCTTAAAAAAAGGCATGATTTCCACGACTATTATACTTCATTTATTTATGATTTTCTTCCAAATTTAAGGAGATTCGAGAGGAGTTAAAAGAAACTAAGACACAGTATGAAACACGAATAAATCAGCTGCAAGTTGACCACAAATCGCAACTTAACGAGATTGAGTTCCGCCTGGAGCACAATGAATCACAACATCAGAACGAACTGGAAGAACTAGACTTGCGAATGACACAGACATTGCAAGCTAAGATCGATGAATTGAATGAAAACCATCGGCAAGAACTTGAAGGACTTCACCAGGTAAATATTTAGTTTCTATTTATTGTTATTGCAGGGTATACAGTTTGTGCTAAAATCTGAAATAGACACTCTCGGATATTATAATATTAAATTATGAAATTGGTTAAGTAGACATCTAAATTAGTTTATCAGCTTCCAATGAAACAATTGAAATAAGTTCAGTTTTACAATATTTTTAATTCAAAATTTTTTAAATCATTACAAACCAGTACTTTTTTCTGTTTAATGGGCCAACTTTTTGAAGGCTGGAATGAATTGTATTTTTGTAAATGAATCATCTTAAACATTTTTCTGTTTTTACACTATTATGGATTTCTCTGTATTATTGTCATTTATTTGGAATAAAATATACTATATTTGTATATACATTTACAGTTTTTCATATGTTTGTATATTTTATAATTTCAACTTTAAATAATTTAGCTGGCTTGTTGTGTTTTGATCATTGTTTGTTGTTGTAGTTTTGATCTGGTTACCTTATGTATAAATCTATTAAAAAAAAATATACACCAAGACAGGTCACTATTTTGTAAAGTGTATGTTTCCTAATTGTTTGAAATAAACTTTTTTAATTGATAAATTTTATTTATAAAATTTTGGGCATATATATAAAATATCAAATATATATATATTCAATATAGTAAAATGGAAGAAATTTTCTCATACATTTATTCGGTAGATTTTATAAGTTAGCTGTGATGGCATGGAAAAAAAATTCAAATCAAAATACGCAAAGAACAAAGCAAAATATTTACTACAGTCCTGTGTGTGTTATGTTTTTTTTTTTAGCTATACCAGTCCAAAAAGAAAATTTGAAAATATTAAATAGCAATGCCAACTCCCAAAAGGACACTCCCAAAGTCATCATAATCACGTACAAAAGTTATAAGTAATATTTAAGTAATTAAAACTAAATCAAAAGTTGTATAAAGCCAAGTTTGCTCATCATCTCAAATTCATTCTGTGGAAGTGTGCATTAAAATGTACTTTGGATGGTATTACAGCAAAAATTTTTCAGATTTGTTGAAAACTAAAAATGTAAAAAATAATCCTATCATAAGTTTGCCTGCTGAGTATACAGTAAGGACTTGTTCTATAGTAATTTCTTGGGGCACATTTAAGCACAAGGTGATTTTTTCCCCCTAGGGTTCATTATCGAAATCTATCCAGCAGTTGGACCCATACTCCCCTGCAAACCAACCTACCAACAATTCTGCTCTTCTGGTGAGTTGTCTATCCCAGGTCAATGACATTTGTTAACCCATCAACTCTTTTATCTTTGTGTCAATGTACTTTTCTTGTCATGTATTATCTACCATATTATTGGTTTGAATATTATTTTTTAAATATGTAAATTGGCTTTTAGAAGTTGTTGTGTTTTCTAACATTGGTTTTTCTTTAACATATAGTTGTACTCCATAATGTTGCTTTTCTTATTTATTTTCAAGCATTTAAAACTTTTTCGACTGTCTCTAATAATTCTGTAATTTTAAATGCTGACTTTATAATTTCTAGATTTCCCAATGAAGTAAGATTGTATTATATCTTACAAATTCCTAGAATTTATTTCTTCATTTTTAAAATTCTAATTTTCCAGATTGCCCAAAATTAATGGCGAGTTGTCTTTGTCTATATTTGCTCTTCACTTCTGAAAGACATGCTGATTCATTATCAATGTTCCCTAAGCTTTATGAGGTCATTATTTCAATCGAATGTTCTCATTACACAAGACCGTTCGCATAATCACTGTCTTGCTAAACATTCTACATCAGAGTCATTTCATTTTGTCTGTTCTACTGGTTGACTTTATTATGTTATTTGAAGGACCATCAATTTTATCCCTGCTTTGCAAAAAATAATCTATGTGTATACTTTCTGCCTTGCATGACCTGATTTCATGGCTCGTCATATATTGTAAAGGACCTTCCATCTAATCACTGCCTGGACAACAATCTTCATTTTTTACAACAAATTCTGTATTATCCTGATTTCATGGCCTATCCTTTCCATGTTTGACATTTGTTCATGTGCAATGTTCAATATTTAATTTCCAATTAGTCCCAAGTATTATATTTATTTTAATTTAAAAATGGGTAAACATATGTCATCACTTAAAATATTAAGGGTGTAAAGTTGCTTAACAGGAGTATGATTAACTGCAGCAAATAATTCTAATAAATACTAATAGATGCATGTAACAGCTTTACTTCCTGCCATAATTAACATAGTAGTGTGATAGTAATAGTAGTGTGATAATAGTAGTGTGATAGTAATAAATACAACAGCTTTACTCCCTGCCATAATTAAGATAGTAGTGTGATAGTAATAAATTTATGTTAAACTAAAAAATAATTATGGTTCAATGAATACTGACTTTTTATATAATAATAATAATAATAATAATAATAATAATAATAATAATAATAATGTAGTTTTATATAGCGCACATATCCATCTAACATAAGATGCTCAGGGCGGTTGATATGTGGACTGGGAACTCGATGTATTGCTTTTGTCAATTTCTAATATACTGGAATAATGTTACTACTATTAAGCCTGGTTTCCATACAATAGCTACACAGTTGCTACAAGGTGTTCATTGCAATCCTTGCACTGCGTGGCTATCCCCGACGCAATCGGGAACGCTTTCCGATTCAACTGACCAATCAGCGTCGCTAAAGAGTTGGCGATAGTGTGCGATATCGATTTTAATGGAAACCAGGCTTTTCTCTAAGTACTCTACTACGACTATGATGACTACTATTACCACTGCGACTATATTACTATGGCTACTATGACTAATAATAATAGTATTAATGATAAAAGTGAGGGTGATGATGATTAAATAAGCGGTTTGGCGCAGCGGGAACGGTTTGGTTTCCCAACCTCGAGGTCGGGGTTTCAACCCCTCGCTGTGCATTTCGCTTGTGTTCTTGAGCAAGACACTTCATCTGCTTTGCTTCTCTCCACCCAGGAGTATAAATGGGTACGTGGTGGGGTTGCCTGCTCTTGCGCTGATTACCAGCAGCAACACTTATCATGTGGGCCCAATGACCAGGGAAAGGAACTGCGCTTTATAACTGCAAAGAAGAGGCGCATTATAAATGCCCGTACCAGTACCAGTACCAATCACTATCCATGATCCCCCTAGTACATCACGCCTTGAATACAAACTAGTCTTAGAACTGGATCAAATCTTATAGCTCCATATCTAATCAATATAAAACCATCATTCATTCATTTCTTTAATTCAGATATAAATATCCAAAAAAAAAAATTATAATTAAAAATAAGAGTGGTATACTGTATATTCCTCAAAATCAAGTAGAACAATATTTAAAAATTACTAACAAATTAGTTTACACCATCTCCTATGATGTACTCATACCCGATTAAATATATAATACATAAATACTCGGTGCTTTGTGCATACCAGGCATGTGTATCATGTTGTTCCTATGTGTGGGCCTTGTATACAAATTTTATGAATGATGTGTGCCAGATACACAATACATTAATACAACATCAGTAGTAGAAAGAACCAGACTGCATATATATGGCAAAGACAAGCCAAACCAGGCTGATTTCTCAAATATTGTTCTTTAAACAGATGTACAGTATGTTTAATCGCTTATAACTTCGTAAGGAAATGTCGAAATTAAATGATTCTTTTACTATTTTATAACTCGCATTTTACTGTTTAACCCTGTATTAATAACTAAAAATCGATTTTTGTGATGAGTGACTGGTTTGGCTTGCCTTTGCCACATATTGTGTGGCAAAGGTCTGGTTGAAATCCACAGAGATACACTTGCATATTTTCATATCTTTTTTTTAATTTTAAATATTTCATTCTATTTTGTAGGATGAATTGCAAGATCAACGAGGTCAGCTAGCTGAACTTCGATTACGGGAGAAGCAACTGATTGAGGAGATCAATTTAATGAAGAAAGCGAGCTCAGACAATGGGCCTAGCAATCCATGGCCTGAAGGTATTCCCTTACAAGAACCCACAGAAATTGAAGTAAGAATGTTTTCAGAATGCCTTTGTGTCTTTGATAATGTATTTTATACATTTCTTGTCCTTATTGTTTAATACATTTTTTTGCTATCATTTTGGAATTGTTTTATCATTATATTCCTATTATTATTTATCTTAATTATTTTTTGAAAATCTAGTATGAAAAGACTTTTAACATAAACATAATGTATTTTACAATCTAGATACAGTTATTAGATCATTGTTATAAAAAATAATAATTATCATTGTTATATAATTGTATCATGCCTTTCATCTTATTTCTCTTTCACAGTACCTTAAAAAAGTCCTTTTTGAATATATGATGGGAAGAGAAACAAAGGTAAGATGCAGATGAACTGACTGTTTATACATGTGTTAATTGGTGTTTATGTATTATTACATTGAAGAAGTTATACATCTATTAATGGTGGACTATAATTACACAACTTTCCCAATCAGTAAATGGTAGCATGAAATGAAATGCAATTGTAAAATGAGGTGGGAAATAAGATGAAAGGATAAAAAAAGAAAAAGGTTGAGGAGGATTGTGGGGTGTGAAGGAAAAACATATATATGTGGTAGACAACGGACCATTCTAGAGTGTCAATCAAACGGAGCAACTGACCAATCAAAACAAGACAGGAATATGTGCATGTCCTACAAATATATGTGTTGTCCCACACACTTGTTTACATAACTAGAATACTTTTTTTTTGTGGGATCTTGGCAACAATATCCAAGGGGTGGGGATTAGTGGAAAGGTCCACAGGGATGTAGTTATGGTGGGCGCGGCCACCCATCTTTGACAATTTCCACCCGGTCTATAAAACTAATTTTGTGGCCCACCACCCACCCTTATTAACCTACTTTTAAATCCTTAAAATCCACTCTTATTATTTAGAGTTTATTAGTGATATCACCCACCCACCATTAAAGTGTATATCACCCACCCTTAGTTTTCTACAGCTACAACCCTGGGTCCTTTAAGCTGAGTTCTATATAAAATCACTTCATAACCATAGAAACAGTGGAAACTTTTAACTTTACAACAGCAAATTTATGTACTATTAGAGTGAATCGCTCTTTGTTTTCTCCTGGTATGCATTTATATTTACATGTTGTGTACATATTTACATGATGTGTGTATATTTTTAATGCTTGTTTGTAATCTTTGCAGACAATGGCAAGGGTCATAGCAGCTGTAGTCAAGTTCAACCAAGAGCAGACAAACGCAATTATTGAGGCAGAGGACAAGAAACCATCATCATCGGTAAGTGTCAAAGCAATCTAGTGTACCCCTCCTAAAGATTACCTTTCCCAATGATTGATAAGTGTTGTTTTTTTTATACTCATTATTGTTTATAATATTATATATTCTTCAAAACTACATTTTGATAATGTTTTATTTACATGATTTTACTTATTAATGTTATTCACTCATATTTAAATATAATCTTAAGGAATGTTATGAAAATGCCAATAACTTAAGTGTAGCAAAGAAGATATGGACTTCTGCATGAATCAAACGAACAGCTTCCTTGTACCTTTTCATTGCTGTGGTGACTAAGCTTAACAATGGGGTCCGGACTGAACCTTATAATATCTCTTGTGAAGTATACATGCCTTAGCCTGAGAACTTAGTGAAAGCAGAGCTATCATATTAGGTGATACAGTTTTTAATGAAAGTGCATATTTTCTTTGGTCCACTTAAGAGAGTTATTGTGTGTGTAACTTACTTTGATTGTTGACACTGAAGATATATTATTATGTTGATTGAAAAAGAACAATCTATTTTTTATATTAAGTTGTATCTACTATCTCAGTTTTGTTTTTAAAAAAATAAAAGAAGTTTATTAGCAGTGTATGTTATTTTGTAATTATGACATAGCTTTATTAACATTTACAAAAAAATTAAATTTTTTTTAAACAATTTTTCTTACCATCTATCCACATCATAATTTTTCTTTCATTGCAAAGCCAACCGAACAAGAAACATAACTTTTGTAAGTTTTATTTTTGAAGATGCCGGTGCCAATGCAGCCAGTACTACCTTTTACCTCCTACTTACCATTGTTTTCTTTTTCCTAATTTTGTCATTGCTTGGGTCAAATTTATTCTTTTTGTAATGGAATTGTTTTATGGATTATTGATTATTTGTAAAATAAGTGTATCCTAAATTTGTTATATTTCTTTAAGCATTGTTAAAAACATGGTTCCATTTCTATGGTGGTAGCTTTATTTTATGGTGTGTTGTGTTAAAAAAAAATTAATGGGTGTTTTTGGAGATTCATGCTTGTACTGTTGGAATGGTGCATAAAATCCAACAGTTGATTGATTGATTGGTTGCGTGATTAATTGTGTTTGCAACCTGGCCAATTTGATCATCCCTTCACTTATTTTTCCTAACGTTGCATCAGTTTTACACTAGGGATAGCAACATAGTTGGCGAAAGACTATGTCATTACCAGTAAGTTTATTCTAAATTTCAAACATTGGTTTTACATGTATTCCTATTGAATCGCATTTGCTATTCCAAGATACTCATATTTTCTTCTTGTTTGCATACATTTTACTTTAGCAAATCAATCTGTTTTGTCTTGGCAATGCTACTATTTTTGGATGAAAGGAATGGAGTGCCATTTGAAAGATTATCATTTCAGTCCATGATTTTTGTTATTTTGTTAACATTTTTACTGTCCCAATAATTCACTAGCCAGCTATTGTGTGAACCTGAAATTCTGTTCAGGAATAAAAATTTATGTTGCCATAGTTACTGTAAACCTGAAAATATATGCTATTTTGTTGGGATACAATTTTTCAACTTTTTTAAATAAAAGTATTTGATCTTTTAAGTAAGTAATTCAATGTTTCAATTTCATTTTTTGATTTTTTTTCCTATTTTTTTAAAACCAAAGACACTATATATTTAAGGTCACTGAGATTCAAATGTTTTCATTCTGATAATCCTAGGCCAATGGAGTAGGTAAAGCTAAAATATGAAACCCTGTCTAGACTGTGAATTTTATTTGACAAAAACATGTGACATGCGTAAAAATGGTCATGATGGCATCACATCATGACCATATTATAATACTGTCTCTATATGGGTATACAAATATGATAATCCGGGCATAGTTTTAGTATACTTGTCACAAACATTTGATATATAAATTTATTTGTCACTTCTTTGAGGTTGACTGAACTTTCCCAGACATTTAATTTAATTTTGAGAACAGATTACCGAATTTGCCAATTTGTTAGTGTCACGAATTATCATGATTTGTCGTAAAATCTTAGGAAACTAATTTCTCCCTCCCTGTCTTTCCATGCTCTGTCCACACTATCAAATTTTCTTTGACAAAAAAACTGCTGTATGCCCATATATAGACATGGTATGCCTATATATAGTGATGATGTGCCTATATATGGTCATGATGTGATGTCATCATGACCATATTTAGGCATGTCACATGTTTTGTCAAATAATATTTGATAGTCTGAACAAGGCTTATATTAAGCTTTTGATTTAATTTATTCTAAAATATACATAAAAACAGTATAAATATCTCATTTAATGTGGATTATTTTTTTTTTATGTCTGCTGCTACATTAGTATCTCTTATTTTTGTTGTACATTAATCATTGCTCATGTCCAGTTACAAGGTTTTAAGTAAAATTAATACTAAGCAGATTATAAAATTTTGACATTTCAAATATCCTTTAGAATATTAATACTGTATGTCAACTGTGTTGATATTGAGTGAAGATGAACATGATAGATATAACTGATAGATGTATTGTGCCACAAAGTAAAGTATGCAATTTGTACTAGTAAGGAGGAAACCTGGAATGAAACCTGTTATATGCACTATTAGGTGTTATTTTTGGGGGTCTGTTTTTGTAATGATCCTTAGGTATTATCATCACTGGAAAGTTATATACTTTCCTGCAGAAGTGCATGGTTCTACCTAAAATTAAACCTTAGCCACTCTACTTTGTGGCAGTGCAGCACCACCCCTAACCTGGTAATGATTTGGGCACTACACTGGGAGATAATCCCCAGGTTTTTTTGTCTAAAGAGTGTATTGCCTTCCATAATGTGCACATAGGTTGTGGTATACACTGGAAAAATGGCCTTAAATTGTTTACCAGAAAAGAGAGCATCAATCAAATGCTGTATACTGTACATCAGGTCTGCTGCCTTAGATCAGCCCTCTAAATGCTTGGAGAGCTACTTTATTTAATAAAATTAAATAATAAATCTGTCGAGTCATCAAACAAATACAACAGTTTGAGCTGTGGTTTGGCGGTTAAGGTGCCTTCCTTCGATTTTCTAGGGCCTGGGTTCAAAGCCTGTGAACACAAAGATTTGTTATTAAATAAACACAACTGAATGTCCTGAGCCTTATAGAGAGATTGTAAACATTTGATATACTTATTCTGTAATTGCCAAATGTAGAAAAATATAAAAAAAATATTTTTTAATCACATATTTTTTTTTAAATATTTTGTTAACATATATAAATTTATATAAAAAATTTAACATTTAAATAATGTATTTCTGTATATGACATATAAATAACTTAACATATATCTTATCAGAACATCGATATACCTTTGGAAATTTTTATGTTTTCATTGTGAAATGGTTGCAAATTTAAAGAAATGTATATTTGTTTTATTTTATTGTGTAACAGTCAACATGGGAGTTGAAAAAATTGCATTGCACATGATGACATTATTTAATTACAATGCACAAGGCAAAATTGATATGCGTCTTTTTAAATTATAACATAAAAGGAATCACATACGGCATTGCAGTAGCAAAATGGAATAACGTTTAATTACTTTATTCAGATTGCCTAAACCAGGCAACTTAACCCAATACAAAAAAATACAATTTAATACATATCTAAATGATGATGAATAAAAAAGGTTTAGCCGTGTTATAGTCTGCTCATAGAACAATATAAAAAATTGAAAAATTTCAGCACTTAAAAGCCAGGCTGCGAAGGGGAAAAATTGTTTATATGCTATACAATTGATTTTTAAACTAGGGGAAAAGGCAGAAATAAGGGTGGTTACACCCTTTTTCCCTAGTTTTTAAATATTAGAAAATCTGTATATCTGACCATTTTTTCGTTACACACCATTTTTGTGTCCTAGAAAAATCGATTGTACAACATACAAAACATACATTTGTTATATATTCTTAGCTTTCGTCCACACGGCAGACTTCATCAGGAAAGGGCTGAGATTTGTCCTTTCTTATTTTTTTAAATCAATGAATATATTTATATATATAAAAAATAAATTATCCAGAGAGAGATGGTAATATTTTGCCAGGTATATTTATTTAGTCAAATAAGCAATATATTTTTATTTATTTTTTGAAATATCAGTATGGAACTTGTTTGGTTTTCATATTATTTTGATCTTTCTTTTCATTTGCAGCTTTCTGAATGCCATTTTGCAGTACTAAGTCTGCCTAGTACATTCTAAGTTGGCTGTTTTATACATTCCTTTTTCTTAGCTCTTAAGCTTTTTTTTTATGATATATAATATATACTAGTCAGTTTGATTTATTTCTGTTCTCCTTTATATATATATAATTTTCTCCTTAATATTCACAGCTCCACTGAAGGGCTGCCCATCTCAAACCCTTCCCTGCCATGGTTAGTACGCGCATCTTTGTTTATGTATATTCTTTACCCATCATTAATTATCTTGTACATATTACTCATTTGTGTGTTTCATTGTTGTCTTATATTTAACAACAGTATATAGTGTATTGTTATTGTAACTGTTAATTCATTTAAAATTTGAAATTCAACAAGACATTTAAAAAAAAAAATTAGTCAAAAAATAGTTGGAAGTGAATCAAGTTTATTATTACCGTAATAGTACATGTGACTTATATTTCAATTCAATAAAACTTTATTATCCCACAATGGGGAAACTCCTTTTGCCTTGACTCTACAACATGTTAACAACAAAAATAGACAAATATAAACACAGAATTCCTCAATTTAAAATCAGTTTAAAATAAAATATCGCATATTGTGAAAAATACAATTCATTATTTTATCCTTAATGCACATTACTTTTGATGAAAGAAAAACAATTGCTGGTAATATTATTCTTTGTGTTCATATATCACAAAATAGAAAACAAGAAGGATTTGTTAGGTTTAAAGGACACAAACTCATTACACATAAAACATCATTGAAGAATTTCAGAAATAAGGTTTTTACTTCTTTTTCAAATTACAGTGAAGAATGCTATCACCTTGACGATACTTGTTCCTATAGAAACGAACCAAAGACAGAGGTGGAAATTGTCACCAAAGAAACAACAGTTTGAACCAATGGTATGTGGTGTTTGTCATGGTGGTAACAACAATACCGAATACCAATACCACAATACCAACACCATAATAGTTAATACCAGCAACACAATGATAATAGTATGATATACTGTACTCAATATATTACCTGTAATATAACAACAGCAGCACAATACCAATATCATGGTATAAAGATCGCAATACCAATACCTTTATACTAACAGCACAAAGAACACTAATTTCAGTAAAATAAAAAAACACCACAATACCAAACATTTTTACAAATATTACAATACCAGTACAGTTAGTACCAGCATCACTAAATAATATCAAAACCCTTGTTCTGTTGTTTTGAAACATCTATAAAATGACATCAGCAACTAGATCAACTGTCAATCAAAATATATATAGAGGTACAGTTGAAAGTGTATACTAGTACAAGCTACATTAGCTTGAATACATCTAGTGTTGCTCATGATACAAATTGATAGTCATCATATATTTTAATAGTACATGTTGTTTCTTTCTGGTCTTTAACATCTAGAGGTAAAGACAAAAAAGGTAATTACAGGGTAATATAAACCATGGAGTTATAAAATTAAGATTTTAAAAATTTCAAAATAATTATAACTCCATGTATAAACATTGTTTGCATTGCTATGGAGATACTTATTTTGATTTCCATAGCTACAGAAATAGCATATTATAATTATGACTTCGAGTACTTACACAGATAAGTTTAACCACAATGCCTTGCTATACTTAACCACGATTCTAATGAAAATATTTAAGTATCTATACCTTTATTAGTCTAGTTGTAAGTTATCTGGGCTAGCAACAGAATGGCACTAAAGAAAGAATCTGTAAAATGCATGTGTAAACCTGGGCATTTTTACTTAGCTGTCAGGCAAAATTCTAGTTTCTTGACAAGGAGAACTTAATCATCATTATCATCATCATCATCATTATTATCATCATTATTATCCATATCATCATCAGTATCATCATCATCACAATCATCATCATATCCTCATCACCATCATTATTATCATCACCATCATCATCATTACCACCACTATTATTGTCATCATCATCACAAATTCCTTTACATATCTAGGATACCATATATTATTGACAGAAACTGTTTCTGCATTTCTGTAATAATATTTCCTTCCTTGTCCAAGTTTTTTTCCAGTTGACTTCAAACTGTGCAGTGATATTTCTTATTGTAATCTGTCATCTTGTCTAAAAATTATTACATTGTGAGTCGCCAATTAAATTGAATGATGTACCATTGCCAAATTTCACTAAGGTCTCTTGAAAATCAGTGACAATTTTGTATTGTAAATGACTAATTAACTAAATAGAAATACAATGTTATTATATTGAAGATTACTTTTATTTGAACAATATTTTATGAAGGTGAACCATTCAACAACTGCTTACTTTTTTGTTTCTATAAAAATTAATAATAAATCCAATTTCTACATTCCAAACTTTGGCATAAAGGCATCAGTCATTAGGCATGGGTTGCATACCCTCACAAATTCACTATCTTCTTGTTAATAAATACTGCACCCAGGATGGAGGTTTGTAAGTAATACACTACTTCTGGTAGACCGTTCCAAAATGTAAGAACTAGTTTCATAAACCCACCACTGTACATTATTTGTGTTTTCTGTAATTATTTGTTTTGTTGATAATATTGTACACAGTAGATTAAATTTTTTCTGTGATTTATAAATGTGTATAGTACTGCTGTGGTTCCCATATGATTCATCAGTAAATGAATGATTGACCCTCATTTGATATGGTTCAAAGAAGTAATAAATGAATGAATTTAATCAGGCTGTGACAAAATGTATGTGTGATGTATGCGTGTATAGATATTTGCAGTAATTGTTGCAGCTTATTACGACACTTTAATGCCAATTAATTACACAAATTGATAGTATATATAGAAATCTATTTAGCAGGGATGATGACGATTACATCATTGGTGACAAATAGTCATTTTACGTGTTATCAGAATACGTTATTTTTATCATGTCTGAAAGAATACGAGGACTCATCCAATTCAATGAAACCATTATCATGAATTACTCATCTTTGTAGTCAGGTAAAGGTGTGTTGAGAATCAAACCTTGACACTTGCTAGAAAGTTGACCTGTATTCAGAATCAGCACCTTCTGTCTTTGTTAATACCAATATGTTTTATTAAACAATAACTTGAATGTGATTTAACACGTAGTATGGTAGTATTTACCTTCAGACCTAAATTTAGAACATTGAGAACTAGCTCATTTGTCCTTTCCCAGTCATCAATGCGACCTCCTCGGAAACATACGGGTGGAACTTGAGGTGGTGGTCTCACCAAAGTTTGCAATACCTGATGTAAAAACTATTGGTGGGGTGGAGAGTTGGTTTTTAATGTCTATCTCATTATGGTTGGTTCCGGAAAAGCAAGGGGGAGGGGGGTGTGGGGACAGGGAAATTGTAACAGATATTTTTAGTCCAATTTTTGTGTGTAAAAATGGGGGAAGGAGGGGACATATGTGCTAGTGCCCTTTTGATAACCAGTGAGATCATTGTAATTAAAGGGATTTGTTTTATAGACAGTGTATAGCATAGTATCTAATGTATGACTACATGATACTGTTGATTCCAAAACTGAAGGGGTCCTATTCAATATGTATAATACTATAGTAATGTAGAGTAGGATAGGGGTAGCAAAACTTAATAGTCAGCCAGATTTCATTGTATACATTATAACGACTGTATATCTAAAAAAGTTTAGTTAATTTTAGAATAGTTGTTTTTTGTTTCATAAAAACTATTCCCCTGTTTTAAATTAGTAATACCATATCAGCTGTTTAATGTTATTTTTTAATTCTTTAACACTTATACTATATGTTAACATGATTTTTTATAGTAAAATGTTATCAATGATTATTAAGTGTGTATGTTTGATGGTTAGTTTTATTGTTATTTATATGATTGATATCGTAAATAAGTTTTCTTTCTTTTTTTTACTCTTTATTGGTTAGTTATTGTTGGTATTAATTACTGTAATTGTTGTTTAATGTAAACATGTTGTCAATATGTATTAGTTTGTTTTTACTCAATGGTATTTTAATTGGTGTATGAAAATTATAACAAATATAATTAAAATGCAATTGGGGGAGAAAGAAATAAATAAAGTGCACTTTTCAGATATTGTTTTATGTTGAGGTTGAATGGAAAATGTATAATTTGTAAACAGCAAATGAAAATAAAAGAAAGTATGTATATTTTGGTATTTAAGAAGTAGTAGGCCTATTCAATAATTACATTACAGTACCTAATAGGTAGTAAAGCTTAATTATACTAATGGAACATATTTTCTTTTTATGTACATAGATATGTATCCGTGCAAATTAAAATCGCGAAACTCCCTGTAAATTTATTAAAATGATACACAGATATTTATTAATTTTATGATATTATTCTTAAGAGTTTTCAATATATTTGTATTTACTCGGTGCTTATTGATTCTGATATTTAAAAGTGATAATGAGAATCTTGTGTAATCTAATTTATATAAACCTGTGACCTACTTGCAGTAATGCTATGTAAATTATCATGTTAATTATTTGTAAGAAGTTGGGTAGTTCAAATACAGTTGAAGGGTTACATTAATTACATTAGAATCTTAATACCAGTAACTGTTAATCATTTGTTTTTGTGTCTACTGCCCCAGTGGGATAGTGGACACTTTGTTGTCTTGTACAGTAGTTGACTTTGTAAGAGTAAATCTGGTGGAGGAATGATGGGATGGGTCATGAACTAAAGATAAAAATAAAAAGCAAGTCTACGAAATAAGATGCCATGCTAAATAAGACCTGTCCTAGTTACAGTAAGTTAACAATTGAATTGCCAACACAGAAAGCTGCTAGAAAGACCTGTCCTAGAAAGTTCACTAAAACGTCACTATGGTATATACTTGTACAGTTAAGCTGCATTCACACCGAAGCCGAATTCGGTTCGTATGGCTAATGAGACGAAAAAAGAATATCGAGTCAGTGGTAAAGAATAGAGGCGCGTACTAAGACGCGCATCGAAATCGTTCTACGAACCGAATACGGATTCGGTGTGAATATACGTTTATTTTAGTGAATTGCCAACACAGAAAGGATGGTTGAGTTAAAAGTAGCCAAAAAAAAAAAACATGTCAAGGCAGTAGACACACGCTCCCACTGTTAGCCTATTTTGTCTTGTGTAGAGGTGAATTCACACGGAATCTGTATTTTCGGGTCAGTAGGGAGCTTTCGATTTGTTTGACGACGCGACGCTAGAACGGAATCACTCATGTGTGACCGTCCAAACATTCTCTGCATAGGCCTACGTAGATTTGTCCAAATTGCGTCGACAAGGAAAACTTACCGTTGGAAATTATTACTTTGGACGTCCTACCGTTGTCGTGCAATTTAAACCGTTCAGCCTATCGGAGATACTGTCCGAATTTTGGTTCTGACCGATGTGAATGTATCTTTAGATCTTATTAAAATTTGTAATTATGGAGAATTGAGTATGGATTAAACCGGTTTTAAATTAAGTCTTTTAATGGTTTTAACAATTTTTTCTTTATTGATTTACATTTGCACAAATCAAAGCTGTCAGTCTAGGGTATTGAATGTACATATATTATAAATTAGATAAATGCTTTTCTCTAAGAAGATTGTAAGGTTAATACATTGTCAAAATATGTTCATTTTCTACTGATATAGGCCTAATCCTAGTCTTCAGAAAGATTAGAAATTTACTTTCGAGAGTATTCAAATTTTTTTGTTAATTTAAATGAAATGCACAAAAGAATGTGCTTTTTGTCATATTGTACGGCCTAATAAGTACGTGATTTAATGCTATATAAAATCAATTGATATTGATTCATAGTCCTACAGGCCTTAGTAATTGAAAGTAATATACAAAAAAACATGTCAAGGCAGTAGACACACGCTCCCACTGTGAGCCTATTTTGTCTTGTGTAGAGGTGAATTCACACGGAATCTGTATTTTCGGGTCAGTAGGGAGCTTTCGATTTGTTTGACGACGCGACGCTAGAACGGAATCACTCATGTGTGACCGTCCAAACATTCTCTGCATAGGCCTACGTAGATTTGTCCAAATTGCGTCGACAAGGAAAACTTACCGTTGGAAATTATTACTTTGGACGTCCTACCGTTGTCGTGCAATTTAAACCGTTCAGCCTATCGGAGATACTGTCCGAATTTTGGTTCTGACCGATGTGAATGTATCTTTAGATCTTATTAAAATTTGTAATTATGGAGAATTGAGTATGGATCAAACCGGTTTTAAATTAAGTTTTTTAATGGTTTTAACAATTTTTTCTGTATTGATTTACATTTGCACAAATCAAAGCTGTCAGTCTAGGGTATTGAATGTACATATATTATAAATTAGATAAATGCTTTTCTCTAAGAAGATTGTAAGGTTAATACATTGTCAAAATATTTTCATTTTCTACTGATATAGGCCTAATCCTAGTCTTCAGAAAGATTAGAAATTTACTTTCGAGAGTATTC